CATCATGGCAGTTCAAGTTTCTAATGTCAAAATGTAAGATGGCAGAGAATAATTCCTAATATTTTGGTATTCAGTTGTACTTCAGATTTTTGTTGGGTTGGAATAAAATCAAAATCTGTATGAGGTATGTTTGTACAGAAGATTTTAATAATTAAGGGGGTGGGGGTGTCATAATGACTTCTAATTTTAAATCAGTGTTTCCAAGTTCATATCCTGTTCTGCCAAGTGGATCCAGCTGTTCGAAGCAATGGTGTTGATTAGAATGTCATTAAAATTGTTGCTTCCAAGCTTAGTGGAATTGGAGTCTTTGCTGTTGGAAATGAAGTGGTTTCAAGCCATGTATGAGATGTGCTAGGGGTGTTTGTTTCAGTGTTAGCTAGCACAGTGTGCTGTGATGTCTACTGTGAGCAGAGCTGTATTTGTGTCTGATCTAATGGGCTGTTATTTTAAATTAGGTGTGTTGTGTTTGTAACGACAGAACCTGAGGTATACTAAATTTTTGATATGCTATTTTATATATGGTAGTATTTTGTGGTTCTATTGTTACTAATTGGGCCATATATTTTCAAACCTATAGGATAGTAATATTTATGATTGTGTAGCATGTGCTGTGGCTGACCCATTTGCTTTCTTTTTTTTCTTCCAGAATTCGTTACAATGATGACGTCAAAGTGAAGCGAATGATGTCTTATATCAGGCGCGAAGAAAATGTTAATACCAACAAAAACCGAACCTGCATTTCTGCTTCCCATTCTGACACTACTTGAATTGGAGATGAAAGTAGCTAAATTGGAGAGAAGCTTGATTCAGTTTGATGTATTTAAGTGGTCGTATGATAAGTGAATTCAAGGGATGCAAGTTTTTTGTGTAAATTTTTGTAAAATATTTCCAGTCCTGCAGTTTGATGTGGTTTTATTGATCATCTTTAATTGTGAAATTGTGTCCGTAAATTTAGGAGTGGATTTCGTGCCGTCTAGCTGTTTAAAAACCAAATACTTTGTGCTCCCATTATTTTTCTGCTCTTATTCTTACCTGTTTTGAGCTGTGTTGATGTCACGGGAGGCCTTTTCCAGTGATGCCAAATTGAGGCAGTATTTTATTTTATTGTTTGTTGAGAATAGAATCATTTACAGTTGCATGCAGCATTATTTTGCTGTCAAAATCAGATTAGCTTTGTGGTGAGCAGGATGGGCTACCCACCTGTAACATTCCTTCAACAACCTGTACAAAAAAAAGGAAAAGTTGGGAAATTTTTAAAACTTGGTCGATGGCATTAGCATCTGGTGCCACATCATTCGAGAAACACACCGGGTGGGACATTCTTGGTGATGTCATTGAGAGCAGTGTTGCCAGCCAGGCAGACTGAATGAACAGTGTAGCGATTGGCATGGAACTTCTGTGAAGGGAAGTGAACTGCGAGTAAAAACTGTGGGACAGTAAGGGCAATGACCCCTTCACTCCCTCATTGTGCATCCCACAAATGGGACTTCCTCCACAACCTTGTTTACTGTATTTGGTGACTTAGATTGCATTGAATATAAAAGACAAATAAATGTGTTTCTTCAGTCATGCATCTTTATTTATATCATTGTCATGTCCATGTATGAGTTCTTTTGTAACTTACATATGTGTGCATGTAGGTTTTGTTTAATTTCCCCCCCCCCTTTTTACCTCCTGCTTTCCTAGATCCATACGAGATCATCATGTCATACACATGGATCTGTGTATGCCGGTTTGTTGACCTCCCACTTTTTTGTCATTTCATCTCATGGATATGAGAGTTCGGGTCACATACAGTGCATGTGTGCTCATGGGTTTGTTGAATTTTTACCACATTCCATATTCCTTTTCTGCACCAAGTACATGCTTTTTAAAGGGACACTAATTTTTTAACTTGCAGAAGTGTATAACCATCTTGATCTGTGCAAAACTGTATATGATGTACGAGAAAATGTGGATTATGGGTTAATTGATGTTACTTGAGGGAGACGAGCCTGATTTTTTTTTCCCACTGTAGGCTGTATATTCTTTTCATTAAACACGTGACTTTATGACTACTGGGTGATGTGCAGACATGCAGTTAATGATCATACTGTTATGTTAATCTGCTTATGACTATTCCCCTCATGAAAATAGCATATCTTCAAGACATCAAACAGTGCAACTTAGTTGACAGACACCCATTATGTGAACTGTAACGGATTTTTTATTTATATGTTAACTAATTTGAAACGGTGTTACATTCAAGTAATTCCATATTCAATTTAATTCTACAAATGTGCCCATCGAATGTTACAAAAAAGCAGTATACAGCACAAAACTTGCGCACAGTTGAATACCAGAAGTAACCAAATACAGTAGAACTTGGTTATAACGTCATCAAAGGGACCTAAAAATATTGTCGTTATAAACGAGTGTCGTAACCGAAATGGGCACTTCCACAGTAGCCTTATGTTAGTCACGTAAAAATCTACCAAAAACCGAGTTAAAATGTTGCATTTTTTTTAGTGAAATACGTAGTTAAGTACAGACTAACGTAACATTAACGTGGAATTGCCCAAATGTGTAATATCAAAGACATATTACAGCGCTTTTCGCTGACAATACACACCGCACTAATACTGTATATTAAAGGTAGGCCTACTCACCAAATTACAGTAGATTACATCAATTGTTGTGCCTTACTGTACCTAGATACGAGTACAGTAATCAGTTATCTTCATCTGTTTCCTGTTACTTGCCCAATACACACTTTCTAAATTACGTTCAATGTCCATATCAGAGAAATTCAGGAATGAAAATGACGTTACATACGAGGTTGATGCATTTGTGCATGTCGTACTGAGCAAGGTATAAAAACAGTTGCTTTATGAGGAATTCGTACCATTGAATATTTGACGCAATAGACAAGGTGTCGCAGAAACCGATGTTGCTATAACCAAGTTTTACTGTATATCAAAACCAACCATTTTACAATCTACTAATTAGAATTATCTTAATGTAATGTTATGCACATTATAGGGAGCACGCTTTAGCATAGTTCGTTGCACTACGCTACAAGCCGCAAGGGTGTTGGTTTGATTCCCAATGTTATTGGATTATCAGTTGACCTAAAGCTTCCAACTGCACCATGGCCCTGGTGTCGACTCAGCCACCAACAGAAATGAGTACCAGGAATCTTCCTGGGGGGTAAAGAGCAGCCGGCATGTAAGGCTGACAACCTTACCGCCATATTTGAGCAGATTGCCTAGATAATGTTGGACCCTCAATTTCTCAAACCATATGGGCCAACAAGACCTGTTACAGGTGTAGCTTTACGTTTTTATGCACTACACGTAATACACCATAATCATACAAGTAATGAAGCTTAATGCAGTGATCACCATACACAGACATCATCCTATTAGACCAGAATATTTTTCGTTTCTAGAATTATGACATGAAAGATGTACAGTGAATAAGTCAAAATATCTTAAAGAGGTGTGCACACGTAACTCTTTAATTGGAAGAATGCTGCACATTTTGTAAAGAAGTCCGCAAAAAGCCAGGCACAATGTAGAAATCCCGCTACAGGAATTCGCAATACCTCGTATAATTGTAACTTTATTCATTCAGGTCAGTCACACTAGTAAACTAATCCATAGAATAATTGTTAATACCATCCAGTGTGGTTCAAAAATTTATTTACAATTATTTAGTTTAAAATCTTATGAATGTTTAATATTTAAGATCTGTAACTGATATGGTTTGTGTCCTTGTGCCTCTTCTGCTAAAGCACAATTTTGAGGGTCTTATTTGGAGTTCTAAGAGGTCTTCACAGTGAGGCCCCTCATTTTTTAGCATGTTATGATTTTGTGTTGTGATGCATAGTTGTTTTTTCTTGCTGTGTTTTGAGGTACAAGATCTTTCCTGGACATGTTGATCTCATGTCTTCTGGAAATGGTCAGCTGACCAAAACATGTAAAGGCAATAAATATCCACAAATTGAATCACACTGGATGGTGTTAACAATTATTCTAAATTCAACATCGTATAACTCTTTAGAAACCATTTAGGCCTAATTACGCATTTTGTTTGTAATACAGTCTGGAACTGTAACCACCTTCCGTTGAAATGAAATTTACTTAACGTTCCATATATCTGCAGTACATATAAGATTTAGAACATATAAAAATAGTACATAGAAAAAACAAACTGAATAGAATAAAATGAAACGAAATATATTGAATCAAATAGTTGGTTCCAGTAAATACTTAGTTTCTATTAGAATTGAGTATGAAATAACAATAGAAACATTTCAATCAAGAACTAAATTGTCGGACTGCAAGCAAATCATAACAAATTTCTCCTAAAATGCCATAATTATGATAATACAGAATTTCATACCAGCTTTTGACTAGTCATTACTTCTGCAGGCTTTATATTGAATATATTCTTCTATGAAATAAAAATAATGTATATGTAGAAAATGTTTTTAAAAAGTTTAAATTTTATATGTTTATGAGATACCTCTTTGATGTGGGGAGGGAGATTATTGTAGAGCCTAATGTTTTTATTTGTAAGCGTTCACCTCATGATCAATATTAGATCAAACAAGTATTGAGTTTAAGGAATAATAATACAGCATTTGTAAGTCCTGTGTAAACACAATGGGACTTTGTTAGGTTTGACACCAGTGACTGAAGAGTACCATCTTCTGGGATATAAGGTGGTGTAGTCCCTTGAAAGTCAGCCGACATTTATGAGAAAAACGTACGATCTTCATGTTTAGGGTCAAATAAGCGGAATAAGCCGAGCATGATACCATCGTGAAATCGTGAAAGCAGATTGACAGCAGTGTACTATGAAGGATCCATGGAACTACGATTAATTTTATTTTCGGATTTACATGTTTGTCCTCAATGGGAACCACGTGAGTCTAAATGCGCAGAACATTGCGCACATTGGTCACCGCTGTATAGTATCTGATCCGTGATGACAGCCACGGAGAAACTTCACTCGTTGTTCCGTGCATTTAGTATCCTTGACATAACTTTCTAATCCATGTATCCCTGCTGCAAAATGGTCTGTGACTACTTAGTAATCCGAGGTGGCTGCAGATTTGAATTGAAATTACCGTTAGGGAATGCTTGTGTGAATACATTTTGAAATTGGTTTGTTTATTTTCATTCCCGTAGATAATTATGGGTGCCATTTTAATTTGCAGATATTGTATAATTTTAAATTAATAAGAGATTGTGCTTTGATAGAATTTTCCAGTTGGAGGTCTGAATTCATTCGTTTCTATCAGGTATGGCTTGAAAAATAAAGACTATTATTCGAACTACTAGAATATGTAATAAAAGACACTTGTATGACTTTCATTTAGGTACATTTTAAAGTGTTATATTTTTCACCATTAGTTTCCTTTTTCGTATTACATAGTACAAGTTCATGGTTTTTTTTTGTTACAGTAGGAAATAATAATTATGATGAATAGAGTTACATTGAATCGAATATTGGGAAATATCAACCAAGAATGTCAAGCAAAGGTGGATGAAGTAAGAGGAAGCTTTAAGGTAAGTGTTACTGAATTAACTGGAGCCGAGAATGATAAATAATGGATATCAGGAAGTA